GTACAATTTCCGGTGCGACCGCCGAGACTGATCCAACACCGTAGTTGCCACAAAATTGTGTTCGTGACAACCGTTGAAAGGTCAAGACCCCTTCTGTGCCATCGGCAGCGGGTTGTTCAGTAGTATCCAGCACGATAACCGATGCGCCAACAGCCCGCTGTAGAGTTTGTAAATCGCAGGCTGCAGGCATTTCGGCCGCCAGTTGCTCGTCTGCATCGGGTCAGCCTTTTGTGGACCAGGCGAACGATGCCCACCTTCCACAGAGAAGGCACCAACCGATGCAGCCAACAGAAGTAAAACGCGGCATGCAGAAGGGATACCAATTGCGGGGCAAACCGGCGAAAAACATCATATCCAACCCCATCATGACTGGGACTGGATGCCTTGGTAGCCCGCAATATCTGTACTTTCACTTCATCCATCGAAATTTCTCCATCGAGACAATCACCGCATCAAGCTTTTATCATTTAATTATTAAGCACGGCGTTTAACTCGTGAACTTCAGCAGCATCGTAGTTAAAAGGGAGATGGGGCCGTGCAGATGCCCATAAAATGACGGTGGAGATCCTCCCTGCCGATGGGGCAGGAGTCTGGGTGCTCGGCACCCGCAGTCTCCGCTGAGGCACCATCCAAAATCTTGGCCACGCGCTTGGCTTCTTCGTTTTTGGCAAAATCCCAACGCATGTCCAGCTGAGCTATCGAAGCACGAACACTTCCGCTTGGCTTCTTCGTTTTTGGCAAAATCCCAACGCATGTCCAGCTGAGCTATCGAAGCACGAACACGCCCACCTGACGCCTTGCCTTCCGGACTGCTTTTCGGTTCACCTGGAGCCGCCTGCTGGGTTGCCTGCATGTCATCAAGCGCCTCGTCAGCACCGGTGCTCACGCTGAGTGCGCGTCATTCGAGGCGGACGTCGGCGCTTCTAGCGTGGCTTAGTGTGGCTTGGAGGCGCAGCATGGACATGTACCACAGAGTACGGCTGAAAGACTTCCCGAAGGCGGTCAGGTATGGCAGAGGTGTATCCCTTGTCTGTTCCCCAGCTGTCAGTATCGACAATCTTGCTCGCCAAGACTTCATCAAACAGTTGCATAGCGGCAGCAGCGGAGTCGTGCTCTGCATCAGTCATTTGACGCAATCGAAGCCAAGGTTGCCGCTCGGGAGATGAGCCTGGGTAAATAGACAGAGTAGTAAAGACCTCAACTCCATCACGAGTAGCAATTTCGGCCTCAATGTCAAGACCGGGTGCATGCACCATCATGCTATCGACACAAGAGCTATTAGCAGGAGGTGCTGGATCTAGCGGTGCAGAAGCAGCTGGCATAGCGGAAGCAGGCCTAAAGCAACTATCCAAGACGCTTGAATGAGGGCCACACTCCACGGCAATCCGTCGAAGGTTAAGCGCACGGTTAGCAAGGCGGTCGGCGTGGGCATTGGCTTGCCTGTCGGTATGTCGAAGCTGATGCCAGTCAAGGCGCGTTAACTCCTTTCACACTTGACCTCGCAAAAAGGTCTGAGCCATCGGTTGTTGCAGCTGAACGAGCCGCGCGTCTGAGCCAGCACCAAGATCTTTTCTCCTTCAACGAGCAATCGCGTGGTACCATGGCGGACTGCACTCTGCACCCCCACCAGCTGTGCTGTGTACTTAGCAGTGTTTCTCGTCTCACTGCTGGAGGGGATAAAGTGAGAGCACGTCCACACCAAGGTACCGCTCGAGTCAAAGATAGCGGCACCAGCGCCCCCTTGTCCAGGGTTCCGTCTGCAAGCAACATCGAATCGTAGATGCCAGGGCTCAGAAACCTCGTGGTTAGCATCGGTATCCACCATTGGTAGGGTTAATGGAGAAACCAGCGGCTAAGCAACAAGAAAAAGGTAGATGGAGGTGCAGTGCGTTCGACGAAGGGTGTCCGTCTATTGCGAGGCCTTCGCCCGAGGATGTGTTGCGTCACTACCAACCGGGGGCCCCAACGAGTCATGGTCTGTCGGGGCGCAGCATAGTTCTACCGGTTGAGGAACATCTGACCGAGAAGAAGGAGCAGGAAAAACCAAAAATAAGCGACAGGTGGGCCACCCACAGCAGACCCGATCGTGCCGTGACGTGGCCCCCATCGCGTAGCACGAGTGCTGGACGCGACAGAGGTCAGCGGTCGGGTCACTGCCAGGGCTGGGAATAGTTCCGCATTCGTCGCAGGTCAACCGGAGGCAGCAGCACCCTCCGCAGTCAGAGACTCATCTTTATCCACAGGTAAAAGAGAAAAAAAATCCACGAGAAAAGCCAAAACATCATCACCAACAATGCCCATATAATGGCTGACCCCGTCCTGGTATCGAGCAGGGTCGACATGCACAGAAGCACAAGGGTCCATGTCCCAGTCTAGATTATGAAGCACGTCTTCAGCACCGTTCAAACGACGGGTCTTCCCAGCAACCCAGATATTGGGTGGCGAGGTCGATGGGCACCGCACGGGGGGACATGCAGGTGCCAAGCTTGTTCGCCAACATTGAGGGCAGGCACGGTGCTCTAATATGGGGTAAAATCGGCGGGCACAGTGCTGCTTGATGCAACTGCCGAACCCATAGATGTAGCCATGACGAGGAACCCGGTAGGTTCAAGGGACACCTCGACAGCCAAAGCAGACAACACGGAACTGAATCGAGAAAGACCGGGTGTCGAAGACGGAAAGGGAAGACCACCTGCAGCCGAAGGGGTGTACGACGGACTGTCGCGACACCCTAGTGCATGATTTGTTGAAGCAGCACGTGTCCTGTGACCGATCCCTCACATGCACCCGCTGTGATAGTGGTCCACGAAGCAGGTGCCACGGTGGGCGTCCGTCGGTGACGTGCTAGCACACTCATGTCACATGCAGTGTACGAACACAACGTGCAACCAATGCTGAGGCGTTGTAGGCGTATACTGATAGTACCGGGTCCGTCTGCCTGGTTATAGGCTGGGTTTATTCAATGCAAAACCTGGCATGAATGAGCGACAGCGCGCTGGAAGTTGTCCCATACCTTGTCCATGGCAACGGCACTGGGCATGGCACCACTACAACGGACGCGTGTTCACCATACCCGACTCGGTCAGGCAGTATGGGAGTCTGCCTGTCGAGTCGTTCGTCAAACGGTAATGGTACATATAGAGATACTGCAGTGGGCGTAGTCTCGTGAGGAGTCGCGGCCACTGCAGCGGATCACGCTTGGTCAGGCAGATCGCCGGCCATCGGGCCAAGCCAATCGTCATCATTGGCATTTAAGAAGTACTCGTCGGCAATGCTGGAGTCATCGATTCCCTTCTCGTCGCTTGTGCCGACGGAGTTGGGGTCACTGGGGTCGTGGTTGGCACCCAGCGCGCGAGTAGTAGCGGCTACAAGCGACGACCCCGCGAACAGCATGCGACCGCCCTGCAGGGTGCGTAATCATTTCGCTTTTGGTCAGTAACGGCGGCGAGTGTGGCGGGGGTGAGAGGGACAGCAAGGGGAGGCGTCGTGTACGTGGCAGGACCAGAGAAAATTCTGTCAGCACCCAAGGTGCAAAAGCTCTGAAGTCCTAGCATTTCTGGAAGCAACACCCGGTCAGGCAGCGTAACGCCCGCCCTGCCGGGTGTGAAAGCAATCGCAGCTTCGTCATGTAATCCAACGGCGCGCGTAAAGGTTAATGATGGTCGTGAAGGGTCGTCAGGCATGATGTCAGACCTATGCAAGGCGTCTGTGTGCCCGGGAAGCCATTGCTCTGACAGTCAGGAAGCAACGCCCGGTCTGGCAGCATGCCTGCCACCCTGCCGGGTGTGCAAGTAAAAATTGCGACTTCGTCAGATGGTTCACGAGATTCCTGGGGCTGAGGGAGACTAGCAGAAGACGTCCAACACGGTGTTAGACCCGGTCAAGGCATCTGTGCACCCGGGGAGTCACCGCTCTGTAGTCCAAGCACGTCTCGGTCTTGCACCCGGTCAGGCAGCATTTCGCTCTCCCTGCCGGGTGCCGCAACAAACAACGGGAGTATTCTTCGACCAAAAAGCGGTAAGGGGACGGCAAGGACCCCGAAGAAGCCAAACGGCGCGAAGACGGCGTGAGCGGAGTGCTTAATAGCCGGTCTGTGCCGGAGATGAGACGTCAAACGAGGTCTTGGCCCCCAGTAGTCACGGGGTAGACGAAAGTTGAATGGAGTAGTGGTGATGTTACATAATTTCGCCCGTGTGACCAGAATGATTGTTCTTCAGGCTCTTCCCGATACCCGAAAGTACGCGATACCGAAGAGGAATGGCGGGGAATGCCCTCGACGCTAGAGGGCTCCTCCTGCAAATCCCTTGCACGCGCAATCACTTCACCGTGTTGTGAGATGTCTCTCCGTCTTGCAGTGGCTGCGCGCGTGGGACCACTTGGCGGCCATGCGCCGACGGATTCGGGGGCAAAAGGGATGTGAAATCACATTTCCCCGTTCTGGCCAATCGGCTTCGAGATAATGGCCAGACCCAGAATCAGCCGTTTTTAGGTCGGGGGTCGCCCGTTCGACACCCATCACCAACGAAACAATGTTTTTGGATCGCCCACCAGCCCTGTCTCGTCATCAGCAGACGCGTCATAGAAAGACGCATCGCTGGCGAGACTGGAATGGCTGTCCGTCGAGCACTCACTATCGCTGGATAAAGAGCGCTCCCGAGGCTGCCAATCCGGCCTTTAGAAGCGCATCAGGATGCGTTGGTGTAGATCCGGTGCAGAGGGCATAAAGGCGTAAAAATCAAACAAAAGGACGAAAGTAGAAAAGAACGAGTGTATTGATTGCGTATCGTTGGCCTCACGGGAGGAAGGTGTAGGCCCTCGGAGACCGCCCTTCTTAGCAGTAAGCTACTTCGACAGGATGTCCAAAAATGAATGTGAAAGACCGACAAAAGTCGGTAAACCAGTTTTCACACTGATAGAACAGAGAAGTGTATGTACTACCGTCCGGTTAATCCACTTCTGAAGGAATAGAAATACCATATCGAAACTATGTGGTGTGTGAGTTAGGTACAGGTTGCACCACACAGAGCTAGACTATAACGTACCAGAGGGGTTTGAGGGCGGTTCCCTACTTGGGTATGGCTCTTTCGGCTACTATGGGCCCGAAGTCCGACTAGCGGTGATCGTGACGTGACGGGATCCCCCGTCCCCGTCACCCGACTGCCCCTTGTATCTTGATCATGCCGCAACTGGTGCTGCCGTGCGCGATGCTGACTGCAATGCAGGTTCCAAATGCGGAGGCTAGACTGTATGCAAGCCGCAGACAACTTCTTGTCCAGCCGCATCGCACCGCGCTTAAGCAGCCCCAGGTGTTCGATGTAAACCGCAAGGTTTCCACCGGCGACCGCACCAAGCGATCCGTAAACGAGCGCTGATAGATGAGCGGTCCATCCTTGACGCTCGAGGTGTCGCTTGACGCAGTCGTACTTGTCACGCTTGGCCTTGGCTGTCCGGACCAGCGGAGACGTTCTCGGGTCGTCGTTGGGCTGCTCATCAAATGCCACTGCAAGGTCTACAACCAACACCGTATGTGTGGTGTGGTTGTAGACCTGCAAGTCCGGCCGCAGCATAGGTCTGGGGAGCGAGGGAACCGTTTGGTTGACCCTCAGTTCAACTTGGTCCGTCTTGCCGCCGGACGCGTAAGCAATGGCTCGCTTAACAATCTTAAGGTTTTCATCGTGGCGTCCACGAATTGTGTCCATAGTCCCCGAGCAGTGGTTGAGCAAATGCACGAGTGTCTCCGACCGCGAGCATCCTGAATGCCTGCACAGGTCATGAGCCCGGATACGCCTGGGCTTGAGCACACTGTCCGTGTCAACCTTTTGAGTCGAACGGCCACCGCAAAGCGGTAGTCGGTCACCCACAACCCGCGGGGTGCGATAGGAAGCCGCTTCCAGCACCCACAACGGTGCGTCCAGACTTGCCTTAGTCCGACATCGCGGCCCAACGCTTGCAGTGTTTGTGCTTTAGGTGCAGCTTCACGTGCCGAAGGACATCTCAATGTCCCAACTAACCATCGTGGTGGGGCACGCGAAGCTCTAATTTCTTCGCCGGTGTCCACGTCTTCTCTACCGCTGGCGCCATCTCAAGATTGTGGCTGAAGCGGTGAAGGTGACCCCGGACGTCGAACCACAGCGGTCCGATGTCAGCCTTTCCTCGCTTGGGCGGCACTGGGTCCGACGTCCCCAGCTTGCTGTTGAGGAGGAGATCGCCCAGCTCCTCCTCTCTGTCCCTCCATGCCAAAGCGTCCTGCTTGTATCTTGAGTCAGCAATCTGACGGAGCTGCTGGTGAGCTATGCGCTGGATGGCAGGGTCAGGATAGTGCAGCATCTGCCACCCGTGCGCAACTTGCAAAGCGCCATACATCTCCGTCAAGGGTAAGAACTCTAACCCTCCACGAGAAACAGGAGCGTAAAAGAAAGCTGTCGTAGTGCTAGTTAGTAGCCGTAGAAGGTGTCGAAGGCCGCGTACAAGGTGACGGTCAAAACCCTCCAGCTGCTGAGAAAACGATCTCAGGTGCCAGAGGGGGTACTCAACCCGAGGGTACAAGTACGCCTTTATGATTTTGACCACCTGCCACGGCGCCAGCCCGGACCGCATCAGCGCCTTCGCGTCGTGCTTGACCTGAGTGGGTGCTGTTGCAATCTCAACGCGACGGTGCACGTGGTCGAAGCCATCCCCGATCCCCAAATACTGGTAGGAGTTGGAGGCGCTGAGTGCGGGGATCGGGGTGCCGTCCAGCTGCAGCCTGAGGTCGCTAGTCATGTGTAGACTACGCACGTCCAGCTGGACCGACGTGGTACTGTACTTGTGCGGATTTGCCTTCATGCCGGTCCACCGCAGGAAGTCTTGCACCGCGGCGTGCTGTCGCTTGATGCCGTCCACAGTACTGCTGAACGTCTTCAAGTCATCTGCATAAGCAGCCGCACCGGGACGGTCTTCGCTGAACACCTTCACACCAGTGTCCGGCAGCGAATTGAGCGCGAGGAGAAGCAGAGAGATCGCGGCGTTAAAGAGGTGGGGGCTAAGTGGGCAGCCTTGAAACACCCCCAACTTCAACGCGATTGATGCCGTATTCCCATCAACATCGTTACCAATTGTAAACGCTGCGTCTGCGTAGAGACCACGGCAACAAGCGACAAAATCGGTCGGAACACCCTGCCGTTCTAGCGCCTCCCATAGCAAGTCGTGTGGCACACTGTAAAAAGCGTTGGAAAAGTCGTACCACACGACATGCAACTCTTGATGCTTGCGCCGGGCTGATCGACGAGCATGGCTACAAGAAAGTTGTGTTCCCCGCAGCCGTTCATGGCTCGAAAGCCCTTCTTCGCATCAGCGTGGTGGCCGTTGACGTCGAGCCAGCGCGTGAAGCGACGCGACAAGACACCGGCGTATAGCTTGTATATGGCCTGCTGCAGGCAAATCGGCCGCCAATTCGATGGGTCGAGCCGAACACCCTTCGTGTGCAGCAGGCGCACCACGCAACCCTTCCAGCTCTGCGGAACACGCCTGGACTGCCAGCAGCGCACGAACGCTGTAGCAGAGCAAGCAGAAGCTGGGACGTTAAAAGCTTGAAAGGACGTGATTGCAGGTCTACAACCACACCACACATACGGTGTTGGTTGTAGACCTTGCAGTGGCATTTGATGAGCAGCCCAACGACGACCCGAGAACGTCTTCGCTGGTCCGGACAGCCAAGGCCAAGCGTGACAAGTACGACTGCGCCAAGCGACACCTCGAGCGTCAAGGATGGACCGTTCATCTATCAGCGCTCGTTTACGGATCGCTTGGTGCGGTCGCCGGTGGAAACCTTGCGGTTTACATCGAACACCTGGGGCTGCTTAAGCGCGGTGCGATGCGGCTGGACAAGAAGTTGTCTGCGGCTTGCATACAATCTAGCCTCCGCATTTGGAACCTGCATTGCAGTCAGCATCGCGCACGGCAGCACCAGTTGCGGCATGATCAAGATACAAGGGGCAGTCGGGTGACGGGGACGGGGGATCCCGTCACGTCACGATCACCGCTAGTCGGACTTCGGGCCCATAGTAGCCGAAAGAGCCATACCCAAGTAGGGAACCGCCCTCAAACCCCTCTGGTACGTTATAGTCTAGCTCTGTGTGGTGCAACCTGTACCTAACTCACACACCACATAGTTTCGATATGGTATTTCTATTCCTTCAGAAGTGGATTAACCGGACGGTAGTACATACACTTCTCTGTTTCAATCAGTGTGAAAACTGGTTTCCGACTTTTGTCGGTCTTTCACATTCATTTTTGGACATCCTGTCGAAGTAGCTTACTGCTAAGAAGGGCGGTCTCCGAGGGCCTACACCTTCCTCCCGTGAGGCCAACGATACGCAATCAATACACTCGTTCTTTTCTACTTTCGTCCTTTTGTTTGATTTTTACGCCTTTATGCCCTCTGCACCGGATCTACACCAACGCATCCTGATGCGCTTCTAAAGGCCGGATTGGCAGCCTCGGGAGCGCTCTTTATCCAGCGATAGTGAGTGCTCGACGGACAGCCATTCTAGTCTCGCCAGCGATGCGTCTTTCTATGACGCGTCGGCTGATGACGAGACTGGCGTGGAATCAGGCGAACTGCATCCTCTCCCAAGTGACACGCAACTGGTCACTGGCGAAGAGGCGGGGCAGTCTGATTTAAGACTGTTCCCAGAAAGAATGTCACTCTTCTTTGGAGAACGGGTGGGACGAACTGCTTCGGAACGGTCGCTGTCGGACTAGTGTTGGGGGTACACACTCGTGCCTCCAATAATTTCCTTTTGGGGCCCGAAAAATGGGCCCCGCATGCGTCCCGCGCCATCACCTCAAGACGGTGATGCAGAGTTAGGCGCCTTAACGTCGGGAACGGGTTCGGAACCCGCATTTCCAGTGCCCACTAAGCGTCAGCGCGCGCGAAGCCCCCCCTGGTCTCCGGTCCCGGTTTTGGGTACCGTCGATGACCGAAAAAAGAGGCCCGGCGACCCCTCGTTGGTACCAGCGAAGGTACCTTCAGGCCGAATCTTGGGTTCAGAATAGGGGTCGCCGTGGCGAAAAACACTACTCAAGACCACGCGCCACTGGCTACGACTTAAGAGTGCACCAAGTGTTCCGGCCTCCATGTGTCCCCAAGATCACCATCGGCTTCCCTCCTGCGTTGCATGGCTGCTAAAGATCCCTTGCTTGCTCCTGCGCCCACCGCCGCTCAAGACTCGAGTGCGTTCGTTGGACTACCTGGCAAAGCGGGCGTCATGCTGCCCGACCGGGTAGCGCCCTGAGAATACCAAGGACCTTAGAGTGACAGCTCCTCGGGTGCTCACAGGCAGCCCTTGATTTAAAAGTGTGTGCGACAGTCCCCCTATCCCTCCCGCTCGTCCTACAAGCCTCCGTCGCTGCTTAAGACCCCGCAAATGTTAATTCTTGACCCGCCAACCCGGCAGGCATGCTGTCAAACCGGGTTGATCGTGGGTCAGCGCTTGCAGCCACAACTGCTCGCGCCCTGGGTGCCGTACATGGCCTCAGCGACCCCGAGGACAGCGACAGCAGCGACAGGATGGCGTCTTTTGACAACGACGCTTTTTCAGTTGACGACGATGCTGCCAGACCGAGTGATGACAAATCGCTCGGACAGGAAGCTACGGAGCTGCCCGCCCGAGCTAGACACACTGCAGTGGCCACGTCTCACACCATGGACATGACCACCACCTCTTACGAGGCCGTGTCCACTACAGCAATTGTTGATAATGTTGTTGATGTCTCACGTACCTGTGACGACCGGCTCGGCTGGCAAACACCCATACTACCAGGCCGAGCCGGGTCTGACGCTCCAATGCCCTGCGGCAAAGAGATGTCTGCTGGTCCCTGCCCCCTACATGATGACTGTACACCCGGCAGGGTGGGAAGCATGCTGCCCGTGGGTGCTGCACCTGATCCAGTCACGACCGCTGCCGTCCCCATGGGCGCGGACCAGGGTTCGACGTGGCAGGCGATAGCCACACCCCGCCGTCTCCCCATCTCGTGCTCCTCCTCGGCGGCAAGCGTCGCTGCTTACACGAAAGGGGACGGCGAGGACCCGCGCGAGCAAGCCGAGCAACCGCTGCTCGAGGACGTCGAGACTGGGCCCAAGAACTCAGCGCTTTGGCCATCCGCGGCCGGCGCACTCCCGGCCTCCGTCCCGGCCGTGTATGCACACAGCGGGCAGCTCTTCGCGTGCACGCTGTGTGCATACACGGCACCAAGCTTAGTCTCGCTCAAGCGCCACCGGGACTCAAGGCACCGCCGCATCGCCTTCCTTGACCGCTTCTCTGCAGGTTTTGCATGCGTCACACTTTCGCGTCGAGGCTGGATGCAGCTAATAACGCGCAAGCGTGCGCCAGCCTCCACGACACTTCGGCTGCGACTACGCCAGCAGTAGGGGATCTCAGCCCCACTGCTGGTGAAGTCGATACCAGCGCAACGGTGGCCGACGCCGAACCCGTGCTGCCCCGCCAAGACTGTCCAGTGCTCGCTGTGTCCCCTCCGCAGTCAAGCATCACGCATGACAGGTCAACAGAGTCAAGATAGAGCCCGCCGCTTCCAAGGCAACTGGTCACTTCTCGCGTTGCGTCTCGTCAAGGCAATATACCTGCCCCACGCTAGGGACCACCACTGCCTCGCAGCGTGGTGGTGTCAAGCATTGCCAACCGTCTCCTCTTGCTAGATCTAACGAAGGAGGAGGAGAAAAGGATGACGAAAGCGATGAAAAGAACTTCAACGACGACCCAGACGTGGACGGCGAGTGGTAGCTACGATTTGACGGTACCTGTCGGGCAACCCTGGCCCTATCGGCGCCGGCGCTGCGCTGTTCAAGACCAGCGGCCCCGTAGTGTGGACGTGCACGGACGAGTACACCGCGCTGCTGCTCGGCACGGGCTGCCGCCGACCGCGGTGTCACGCGCCTGCAGATTGAGGGTGACAGCACGCTTGCCATGCAGAAGGTTCGTGGCATCTTCGCCACGCGTAACAAGAGGCTCCGGCAACTGTACATAGCGGTCATGGCAAAGCAGGCGCGGATAAAGCGGGCCACGCTCCATCCCATTGACAGGAAGGAAAATGGTCATGCCGAACGCCTCGCCAGCGCCGCTCTTGACCGCCGCACGACCACGTTGGAGTGCGGAGTGCACACCGATGGACAGGGATGCACCTCCACCTCCACGACGACCCAAGCACCCGCAGATGCTCCTCCGCCTGCCACACCGCATGTCGCGGTGGGCACCGATGTCCCCCTTCAGCCGCGCCGTTGATGATGACATGGGGGACATCGACGATGGCGAGGTGTATGCAGCGATGAGTGTGGGGCCTGGTGTTATGCCTCAGAGTCGGTCCTGATTACGCCTTCTCAGGTTGGACGAGGACGAGCAAGAGGCTGCGCTCCGGTTGGTGGAGCGACTGGCTGCGAAGCTAGCTGCCAATATCACGGACGCTGCTGAATGGGAGGAGAAGGAGGGCTAGATCACAGCCCTATCATACGCACTGTACGATCAACTGCAGCCTCATTCCCAGGCACAGGATCCTGGCCAGCAGCCATCCGTGTGGATTGATCGGCAATGGGAGCCGCACCGCGACCACGCGCGAGTCCCGACGGGCGACCAGCATCGTTAAGATTGCCGTTTACGTCGTCGCGTGGTCGCTCTGGTGGTGGCAAGAGCCGCCAGCGCATGATTACGCCACGTGTAACACGTCTTGACCGTGAGCACAGGCTCGAAATGGCTCTGGACGCAATGCACGCAGCGATTCGGGCGACCGTAAGGCTTTGGCCAAGGCACGTCGACGTGTGGGGAGGATCAACTCTTCTATTTTGCAGCAACGCCTCCGCCACCTCTTCGACACTTCGGAGACGGTGTGTGTTGATCGCATCCTTGCGACGTTCCGGTAGAAGCGTGAGGCAGATGGGGACGCGGCTACGCCGGCCAGTAACGCTAGTGCTCTGCCGGACTCGGTGGATGTAGAAGAAGTCACCTGCCTTATTCCAGGAGCGCGTCTCCACCAGCTCTTCACGGCGGTGAACACCCCAATGGGTGCCTCTGACCCCATGGCACAGGTGGGAGCCTCGTTCCGCGCGGCACTGAATCGCCTGTACCCAGCGACAGTCGACATGGCTCTACTCACGGATGCGTCGTCGTCGCATAAGATCGAGAACCAAGTGCAGCGCGCTCGTGGAAGTTCAAGCCCCGGCTTGGATAGTTTCGGGTACGACATCTTCAGAAGTTCGCGGCCCAGCTTCTGCTTGCTCTGCTACAGCGTTCGTGCGCTGCTGGCAGTCCAGGCGTGTTCCGCAGAGCTGGAAGGGTTGCGTGGTGCGCCTGCTTCACACGAAGGGTGTTCGGCTCGACCCATCGAATTGGCGGCCGATTTGCCTGCAGCAGGCCATATACAAGCTATACGCCGGTGTCTTGTCGCGTCGCTTCACGCGCTGGCTCGACGTCAACGGCCACCACGCTGATGCGAAGAAGGGCTTTCGAGCCATGAACGGCTGCGGGGAACACAACTTTCTTGTAGCCATGCTCGTCGATCAGCCCGGCGCAAGCATCAAGAGTTGCATGTCGTGTGGTACGACTTTTCCAACGCTTTTTACAGTGTGCCACACGACTTGCTATGGGAGGCGCTAGAACGGCAGGGTGTTCCGACCGATTTTGTCGCTTGTTGCCGTGGTTTCTACGCAGATGCAGCGTTTACAATTGGTAACGATGTTGATGGGAATACGGCATCAATCGCGTTGAAGTTGGGGGTGTTTCAAGGCTGCCCACTTAGCCCCCACCTCTTTAACGCCGCGATCTCTCTGCTTCTCCTCGCGCTCAATTCGCTGCCGGACACTGGTGTGAAGGTGTTCAGCGAAGACCGTCCCGGTGCGGCTGCTTATGCAGATGACTTGAAGACGTTCAGCAGTACTGTGGACGGCATCAAGCGACAGCACGCCGCGGTGCAAGACTTCCTGCGGTGGACCGGCATGAAGGCAAATCCGCACAAGTACAGTACCACGTCGGTCCAGCTGGACGTGCGTAGTCTACACATGACTAGCGACCTCAGGCTGCAGCTGGACGGCACCCCGATCCCCGCACTCAGCGCCTCCAACTCCTACCAGTATTTGGGGATCGGGGATGGCTTCGACCACGTGCACCGTCGCGTTGAGATTGCAACAGCACCCACTCAGGTCAAGCACGACGCGAAGGCGCTGATGCGGTCCGGGCTGGCGCCGTGGCAGGTGGTCAAAATCATAAAGGCGTACTTGTACCCTCGGGTTGAGTACCCCCTCTGGCACCTGAGATCGTTTTCTCAGCAGCTGGAGGGTTTTGACCGTCACCTTGTACGCGGCCTTCGACACCTTCTACGGCTACTAACTAGCACTACGACAGCTTTCTTTTACGCTCCTGTTTCTCGTGGAGGGTTAGAGTTCTTACCCTTGACGGAGATGCATGGCGCTTTGCAAGTTGCGCACGGGTGGCAGATGCTGCACTATCCTGACCCTGCCATCCAGCGCATAGCTCACCAGTAGCTCCGTCAGATTGCTGACTCAAGATACAAGCTGGACGCTTTGGCATGGAGGGACAGAGAGGAGGAGCTGGGCGATCTCCTCCTCAACAGCAAGCTGGGGACGTCGGACCCAGTGCCGCCCAAGCGAGGAAAGGCTGACATCGGACCGCTGTGGTTCGACGTCCGGGGTCACCTTCACCGCTTCAGCCACAATCTTGAGATGGCGCCAGCGGTAGAGAAGACGGGGACGCCAGCGGTGTAGAAGACGTGGACACCGGCGAAGAGATTGCAGCTTCGCGTGCCCCACCACGATGGTTGGTTGGTATATCGGGATGTCTTTTGGCTCGTGAACCTGAACCTCAATAACAAGCACTTGGATTTGTGGGTGGCGATAAAGGACCAATTGAAGCTGCTTGTACTCTTGGTGGTGCTAAATGCACCTTCCTATCGCGACCCTATTGTCGCCGGGATAGAGACTATCGCTTCGGTGAGTGGTCGACTCAACAGGTTGGACACTCAAAGTGTCTTATAGCGCCGGCGTCTTCGGACACACAACAAGTGCCGGTTACCTGTATGCAAGGTCTGAGACGCTGGCACATATGCTGAACCATTGTGCCGGCACTATGATCGCAGTCCGCACCCGCCACGACGACGCTCTGGAGATAATTAAGCGGGCTTTAGTGTTGTCGGCGGGTGATCAGAAGAACAAGTTTGAGCTGAGGTTGAATCAAACGGTACCCTCAATCCCCAAGATCGAAGTGACAAGTGGAATGTCACTTCGCGCCCTAGTTGACTGTGGGAAACATTGTTTGAAATATGTGCGTCAAGCACGGGAGTTTTTCCATTAAGTCTTAACATTACACGGTGCTTGCCTCTGTAGATAACACCGTATCCTTTCTCCTCGATGACCTGTCCCTAGTTTGTTTTGTGAGTTGCCCCAGGAATACTTCGGCTATGCAGCTTGACTCTTTACTTGAGAATTGTTTTAAAACTATCTTCTGCATTGCGGCATGACTTGCAGATCTACAACCACACTACACGCACGGTGTCAGTTGTAGACCTGACAGTTGCGTTCGAAGACAAAGTGACAGCTCACCTAAGGACGTCTTCGCTCGCGCGTATTGCTAAGCTGAAGTACACCAAGTACGACTGCGTCAAGCGACACTTAGAGCTTCAAGGTTAGACATATTACCTTGAAGCGCTCGTCTATGGTTTGCTTGGTGCAGTCGCCGGTGGTAATTTTGCAGTTTACACCGAGAACCTTGAGATGCATAAGCGAGATTCAAAGCGGCTAGACAGGCAATTTTCTGTCGAATGTTTAAAGTCCAGCCGCCGCATCTGGAACATGCATTGAAGTACGCAACGAGAGCGTCAAGGCCAAGGTCAAGCTTGCGGTTGTGGTCAAGATCAGGTTCAAGGTCAAGCTAGAGTTCAAGGTCAAGCTGATATTCACGTTCAAATTCAAGCTGAGGTTCGAGACCACGCTTAAAGATGCTCAGGTATTATCACACAAGGGGAAGTCAGTTGACGGAGACCGGGGGGATCGTCACGTCAAGGTCGCCGCTAAGCGTCTTTCGGGCCCATACAGGCCGACAGGGCTACACCTAAGTAGGAAACCGCCCTTCATACCTCATCAAAAGGGGAAACCGTTACATGATTTCGACACCAAACAATGTCAAAGGGGAGATTGTCCAGCGTGACAATTCACTACCAATGTAATCCAAGATGGATAATGTTGAAGGAATATCATCCTCTTTGTAGTATAAATCCATGCGCTGTTCCAAGATTGGTTGGTAAAGACATCTCATCCAAATGAATCACCAATCGCTGCTAGACGTGCGTAATGAGTGGTAAGCAGGTTGTCGTACTACGACAATGTAGTTAAATATAGTTAGATATAGATTGAAGTTATATTGATAGCTTAACTACATGTAATACAGTTCTATTTCTTACCCTTTACTCAAACTAGCTGTTTGAGCTGACCAGCTTCCTCTGCACGTACGAGTGTACGTGAAGTTTCGCGGCACTCCAAGCAAAGGGTGCCCCGTTTTACCTGGTAGCACTTGTAGTCCGTCCAACGTCTACTTAGTGTCCGTCCAACATGTTCATGTTGGACGTAGAAGACGACAGCTTTCACGTCGTACGTGTAGGATACTCTCATCTGAGTTACTCAGAATAAGAGGTGGTCGGCCGCATGAGTGCAGTCATGGGCGAACCCGCAATCAATGGATTGTTGAAGTCTCTAAGCTGAGACCAGCAATATGCTGCTATCAACAAGTTCCTACAAGAGGAACTTGCCGTCGATAGTCGAAGGATAGGCTTGCTACAATAGCAAGGCTCTCATCAGTCGATGGGCGGGCCGACGCACGTGCGTCGACACGAAACCTTATAGATAAATATCTCAAAGTACAAAGGAACCGATGAAAATTCCTTTTTAAGTTGGTTCGTCAAGTTTGACGATGCCATCAGGGCCCGTCACATTGAAGGTGACGAGCTGCAAGTCACCTTCACCCTGTCAAATTTGACAGGTTGAGCAAAGACTTGGTCCTTAGGTCTCAAGATTCACGACCCAGACGTGTTTGAGTCGTTGGAGGTCTAAAAGTTTCGGCGTAAAGAAAAGTTTGAGCCTCCGAGAGCCAAGTTCAGAGCATGCTCTGTACTCCTGAGGCTAAAGCAAGGTAAGCGTGACGTGCACGCTTACGCACAGCACCTGCGCTACCTTGCGAGTAGCATCACGGAAAATCCTGTTAATGAGCACACACTCATCAACGTGATCATCTACGGTCTTGTAGATGGGCCGGTGAAGACCTACATGTTCCGTGAGGACTTCCATACGCTGGAAAAGGCGATAGCGTATGCGGAACATAAAAACTTCGGCCTGAAATATTTTCAGGCTGACTCGTCGAACTATCGTTCGACGAGACGACAGGAAACAAGAGGTCCCGTACCAATGGACCTTTGTTACATCGAAAGCGAGAAGTCTCGCGCTCTAAGTCACAAGCGAGCGGCAAGATGCCATCGGTGTCAGAAGATTGGACACTACGCTCATGAGTGTAGTGTCCCAAGCACCACATCACGCCCGAAGACAGGACATCATGACCGCCGTTGTCGGACGAATGGTTCAAGGCGTGGGTCCGGCCATGTCGCTAAGCCGCGACAGCAAGTCGGACCTCCGAAAAATGGTCAGGGTCAGTAGGGCCGGAGCACCCTGCTGATCCAGCAACGTCAAGAGAATTTGCAGGGCTCTTGACGAAGATTTTTCCCAACACACAGTCACTGCATGTTACTGCCCCTAGTGATGAGGAGTCCCTCATCACTTTGAAGATAGAAGCGACAAGTAAAATGTCACTTTGTGCCCTGGTTGACTGTGGGACGTCGAACAGTTTTTTCGACGCCAGTCGCTAGAGGATAGCAGGCTCTGCTTTGTTGAGCGAGAGTTCCCTTAAACAAGGATGACGGTGTGCCTTGCTACAGGCGCATACGTAACAGTGAACAAACGTGTAATGGGAATCCACTACACGCTAGAAGGGAAGCAGTACAATATTGACTTCATCGTACTAGTTTTGGATAACAAATTTGATGTCATCCTCGGTCTGCCAAGGCTTCGAAAGTACCAGCCATATATCAGCTGGCAGCATCGATCCGTAAGGATGCTGGCCTGTTCATCAGATGGCCATCTGATGAACGTGTTGGAGCGTCCACGAGCCTGTGGATGTACTACGAGTGAGTGCGATGGCCTCACTTGTGGTACGGTTGTTAGTATGAATGCACAAGATCACAGTGTAGAAGGCCACTACACTGTGGATCCAGCTTCCGGCACCTGTGTAGAGCCACAGGCTGCGCCGAAGATTCACCACTTGAAAGGAGATCGAATGGACTGGAACACGGATGCAAACCAAGAAGGGTGCATTAAGAAGAGAAATTAGTGAAGTTTAGGATGAACAACACGTTGAAGCAAGATCGACTAACAGAGAGTCGATTATAAATCAAGCACGATCGACTTAGAAAGAGTCGATCAACGAGGACGTGACTGTGGTAGTACACTTACAGTCAGTGCACTATTTGGAAGTAAGTTCCAGTGTTCCTGCGAGTGATAACTCCCGAGAGAGTTATGTTGAGGGTGTAGATTCTTGACCACCTGCAGATTAGTTTTCCCAGGAAATCAACGAAACAATGAATGTCTTGATGAATAAAGGATCAAGTGTAGGCGCTTATACCCGAGATCTGGTTTACACCTCCAAAAGTCAGGTTCGGAGGTAATCAAGGTGCTAACGCTAGAATCTCGAAAGATTCTTGCGAGATCTGCGTACTCGTCACAGAGGATGAGCACGTCGTCGATATTCGGTCGGCACAAGTGTTTAATGAGAGCGAACGGGTATTCAGGTACTCATCTATGGATGAGAGTGTGCTCGAAGCAAAGACCCGTATTTAGCGATACACGTCTCCAATCTTGGGTGTCTTTGAGGACAAATCCTTTGTATTAGGATTTGGTCGAATCCGAGGGATGCTTCCCCTGAAACCGTGCCATGCGAGCTACCCAGGGACAAGTGCACTAGGCATGAAATTGAACTAAAACCTGGTTCGAAATACTGTGTCATGAAAGCAGTTGCACCTTGCCTCGTGAACAATTCACAGCGATCGACAAGTTCTTTGCCGATCGT